AATTATACTCTCTTCATCTGTGATAAGCTATAGTCAGGCTACCTAAACTTATAGAGCGGTCTGACTAGCCTGTTCTTAATAGCATAGTAGTACAATATAGCCAAGTTATATCCATTGGGTTCCAACATGTGCGAGGCATTGGGTCAGACCACCTAAACTTATAGAGTGGTCTGATTCTCAGCTAGATTCGTTTCTCTCTGGTCCAATCTGTGCTAGGCAGTGGGACAGGCTACCTAAACTTATAGAGCGGTCCGTCCCTTGCCAAGATTATTCCCTCAAAACAAAACAGAAGAAGAGCTTAGTCACCTAAACTTATAAAGTGGCTCATACCTCCTTGTTAAAAACCAAAGAAACTAAGAGAATCCCAACTAAATGAGGCAACCCAAGGCACCTAAACTTATAGAGCGCCTTGGGTCCCTAAAAACCACTCACAGTCAAATCCCCACAAGTCAGAGCAGTCAGGACACCTAAACTTATAGAGCATCATGACCCTCCATGCCGTTCACAGCACCAGGTCTCCCCAAAGTTATGGGGACATCCCGGCCTCCAGAGCTTTAGGCTACCTAAACTTATAGAGCGGTCTGAGGCTCCATGCAAACCAAAAATAAACAGAGCGTCGGGCTTCCCGAAACTTAAGGGGACCTCCCAGCCTTAATGACCCAGTCAAGCTGCACACAATACTGCCTTCCTCCCAACCTTCCTCAGATGCAACCCATCTCATTCATAGTCTGCTTTCAGGCAATCAACAAACCTGAAACTGAGATTGCACACACACTCCTTTACTTCAGTCTGACTTAAGTCCTGACAGTCAAACCAAAATCAGAGTACAGGAGTCACGCGGTACACTCAGTCAAACCATAGAAAGATGTACAGATAGGGGTTATAGTTGGGTTTATAAAGGGAGTCAAGGGATTACCACTCGGTGCCCTGCCTCCAGGACTCCGCCTGAGTCCCGGCAGAGCTCCCGCAATCGGTGGGGCAACCTCCCACAAAGGCCTTGGCGCGGATTACGGGCCACACTCTCGGCTGCCGCCTTCCTCCCAGAACCAAGGACCAGACTTTAGAGTAAGAAGGGTAGGATAAGAGGGTAAGACTCTCAGACTCAGGGAAGAACCACTCAGACTCGCTTGAGAGGGTCTTCAATCCTTCCGCGCCTGAGGGCCCCGCAATGGCAGCCGGAGATGTGACAGCTTGGTCAATCCTTCAATCAAACTGTCAAGTCTAAATCCCCATGGCAACTCTCTAGGTCTACTATAGTGGACTCACCCTGCTTTCAGAGCCTCGTCCCTCTTCCGAGCCCGTCCGCCATAGTGCCCCAGGCTGCACTTAGTCAGCGGCAAGCGATCAGCAGGTGCCAGCGAGTGGCCTCCACCCGCCGGTCACTGCCCACAGGCAGCTATAAGCAACAGTAGCCCAAAGTCGGCAAGAACAACCCAAATACGGTCCGCCGTAACAGCAGGCAGCCGCTGTGCAGTCCTTGGCAATCTTAGCCGACCACTCGTAATAGCAGTTCGCATTGTCAACAACAGTTGTTGCGGCACGTAGTAGCACTCAGCACCCACCACGAGTAGCTACGTACCCGCCGTTCTCAGCAATATAGACCTGCAGTCGCCGCCATGATACTCCGCGGCCCATAATCCACAGTAGCACACGGCGGTGGCCACTTCCTGTAGCAACCCGCAGCTCTTACTCCCAGTACACTGGCACAACCGCAGTGCAGTTCTACTATAACTCGCCTCCCGGCCTTTGGCATCTGCCCCCCTCCCCTTTCGCGGCTCGCTGCCTCACTCCGACTTGTACAGCCGAACGGCCCCACACGGGCGGGTAAGCCCTCCTTCACTCCTCTCTCCGGATGCCGCCGGCCACCCGCCCTGGCGAGGTCCTTACCATTCCCTGTGGTGCCTCGATTCCGTGCCTCCTGAAGTCGCGGACTGCGTCCCTACGGGTGCGCACCTATCCTCATTGTTTGCCCCTGTGCCTACCCCTTCTCGTTTTCAAACGCACCCAGCACAAAACCGCGTCTAGGCTCATCCGGACCTCTTTCCTTTGCTAACTCTACTCTCACTCTCTTCCCACTAATGCTAACCTCGAGGTCGGCGTCGCCTAACAGTCAAAGTTTTCGTCGAGCTCCTCCACTTCGCTCGATCTTGCCACCATCAGGCGGGAAGTCCGCTCTCCTTCTCCCTGCCACCGTTCCTCCCGTCATACCCACCTTCCACTGTGTCCTCGCACCGCACCTTCTTCACTCATCTCCCATTCTACTATCTCACTCCCCAAATTAACTACGGATTTGGATCCGCCACCCCCCAAAACCCCATCCTAGCACTTTCCCTCGCCAGAATCCATCAAGGATCACGCCCGTTATCCCGTCTCTTTCCCGTGCCCCGCCTTCTTCATCGCCCCTAGCTCCGAAACCACCCGGCCCGACCTCCCGTCTCGATCCGTTCACTTGCTTCTACCACCTCCATCGCCCGCAGCTCGCCTGGTTGCCGTCCACACGGTACCGCTGCTGCCGAGCCAGTTTGCCCAGATCGTCCAAAACCACAAAAAAAATGAGGGAGCAAAAATCCTGGTCGTTCGGACCGCTGCTCAATTTATACGTGTCGTCCTTACGCAGAGGCCCTGCTGATCTTCTCTGTATCATCCAACTTCACCAGATGCCCCAAAGAACTTCGACCGGGGTAGTGCCCCGCGGCCCTTCGAATTCCGCGCGGCCACAGCCCCACTCTACCCTGGTGCACGAACCTAGCCCCACAGTCGGGGCTCATGCGTGTCAAGTCGCGCAGGGGCCATGCAGATCTTCTCTGCATTATTCTAATATTTACGGATGTCCCGAAGGACTCGCACGGCGCGACGCGCCCTGGCACGCTTAGTGGTCACATAACCCCCTCCCGGCACGCACCCGGTCCAGCCTGCGACCGGGTCCATTCCCGGCTTCGTGCATACTACTCCCGCACGGCGATCATACGGACCCTTCGATCCGATATTCCTTCTCCCCCCCGACTTCTCCCTTCGGACGATCCGCTCCTCCTGCCTAGTTCTTCCCGCGTGGGCCTGGCCTCCCTTTCGGGCTTCATACATGCGGACCTCGCGCAGRGGATCGCACGAATCTTCCCTGTATCGTTCCGATTTCAACAGAGGTCCCGAAGGACTCGGGGCCACTACTGCAGGCAACCGTCGGTCGGGTCCCTCCTACAACTCCTCCCTTAGTGCGTACCCGGCGCAGTTCGCATCCGGGTTCACTTCAGACTTGCACAATGGCCAACGAGTCTCCTCACTTAGCCTCGTCAGCAAGTTGGCCGGCCTCCGACGTAACAAAGGAGGGGTACATAAAAAATGAAGTCTAAAACAAAGTTCCTCTCCCCTTTTGCTCCTCGCACGCCCCTAACCTGGTTCCTGCCCGGGTTCATTCCTAAATATCACTTCCCCACGGAAACTGCGCAGATCTCCCTCGTGCCCGCAAATCTCCTTTCCCCTCCGGAGCGGTTCCTATGCTACGTAGCCACCGGTCGTAGCCCAAGCCACGACCCCCGTCCGGGTTCGCTCCCGGATCTCGTACCCGCACAGTTGCCTATGCAAGCCCCCCCCGTAACTCCCTTTTTGTCTCGCTTCGTGCACATCATCTACGCAAAAATCTTCTTTGCGTCAGCCCTGCACCCAACGCAGTACTCGATGCCATACCGTCCCCTCTTTGGCATAAGCCCGGCCCGGCCTACGACCGGGTCCATTCCGAGCCTTCGCGCATCACCCCTACACGGGTATCATGCGAACCTCCCCCACACCGTTATGCGGCAACAGTACCCAAGGGAAAACGGACCAAAAGTCCGTTAAAATATCAGGGTAGGTCGTTGATATACGGGAAGGGGGAATCGCCAAGGGGAGGGAGGAGTGGGCCCCTCGATTCGGTATTCTGACTTTCAATTCGGGATTCTGTTTTAAATCGGTATTCTGTTTAATCCGGTATTTCAATTAATTGGTATTCGGGTTAATCCGATATTGTGTTTTAGTTCGGTATTCTGATTCGAATTCATTATTCTGATTCTAATTCGTTATTCTGTCTAAATCAGTATTCAAATTTAATTTGGCATTCGAATTTTCAAAATTCGGTGTTCCGTTTTTAATTCGGCATTCTGTTTTAATCAGGTATTTCAGTTTTCAAATTGGTATTTCCGTTTTATTTCGATATTGGAAATTAGGGTTACGATAAATTTTGGTTTTTCGTTCAGATTGAGAAATTCGAATGTTTTGGTACCGCAAAACCGGAAATTCCGCGGAATGACGGAAAATTACGGTTGGAATCCGAAATTTTCGCGAATTTTTTTTTTGTCCTAGTTTGAGAAATTCCTAATACAGACTCAGGCCGTTGAAAATCGGACCTTGGAGGTTGAAATTCCTGAAATCTTCCGTTTTAATCTGTCGGATTATCTATTCCTTTTTTTTGGAAACTGTTCGAAATTGTTCCCTCAGAATCGCAACTTCCAGGTGGTTCACTAATCAACGGTGAACTCCCGGACCATAGATGATCTCAACGGATACCTTATATTTCCACAACTTAAAATTCATTGATGATCATTATTACAATTCTTGTTTATTGATTATTATTAAGAAGTATTAATTCGTTATTAATCATTAATTAATTTTTTTTATTATTATTAATTCGTTATTATTTCGTACTATGAATTTTTTTCGGGGAAAGTGTATCTTTTTTTATTAGGTGTCTAAGTCCAAAATTGGGACAGGGACTGTATGCGAATCGCTTGACCTGTTCTACCCCTGTGTCCACCCTCTCCCTCTTACGGTTTTGCGACCTTTCGGACCGGCCAGCCTTCAGCAGCAGTATTACTGATGCCTACAGGGCAAGCCACCGAACAGCAGCCACGACGCAGCAAGAGGCTCGCAGATTGCCAACAATAACAGCAATCTGCAGATCGACAGCAGCTACAGACCARCACACAGATGGCGATCACCCCTAACAGCGGAACATCATCCGAGGCTTCRACATCTAGCAATGTCGAACCATTGYCGGTCTGTCCTGTTCAAGGGCCGAATGAGTCMATCACGGACTACATTCRGCGATTGAAGACYTATACGGACACACTCACCCTTGCCAAGGAACGGCAAGATGCTGCCGAAGCCGAAAAACASCGGCTGGMWGCAGAAGCTGCAGCCCWAGCCCARCRACAAGCTRAGGCRGAGCAGTTGGCGATCGACAAGCTCAACRCCGACAGTGCTGACCTTCTGATCTCTCAATACGATCAGTTGGCCGCTGTGMTMGATGAGATGCGTTATGTCCCCGTAGCAGGCGYCGAGCCGACGGCAGYACAACAGGAGAGACAAAACCTGRCAGACATTTTATTATGCACAATGMGCGCAGTTATCTGGAACAACACCATGGGAGACCTTCATTCGAGGTCTACATGGYAGCTGCAGCACTATCTTAACCATAACGTGAAGACGCTTGCAGMAGCCATGAAGGTCGCGGACTCCCAGCTGCAACAGATGGACAACCGCATTGCTGCTATGGAGGCAAGACCCTCCCAAGCAGCGCCAGGCTGCACGACAGACACGGCGAAACAGRTCGACGAGCSTATCGACCATRTCGTCAGTCTAATCGGCGAACTAGGTGACTTCACCAGTCCACCCACGATCAGCAKCAYGGTGGCCGCCATCAAGACGARCATCACCAAACTGCAGTCGCAACCGGCASCAGCTGCGAAAGYATACAAGATGCCACGCTTAAACAWCAGCMAGTTCGATGACTACAACAAGACCGACGCTTTGACATGGTGGCAAGCCTTCCTCACYGAASCGTCCTGCCACAAGGTCCCAGCYGAGGACATGATGAAGGCGTTATACCTCCAACTCATTGGAGGTGCGCAGGCGTGGATGAACCACCTCGAGGTTAACAAGGAAACCACTATCGCCGAGCTACACAAACACCTCACGTGGGAGGATTTTAAGCAGCTGTGTAACACCCATTTTATGGTCCGAAATGTTGYGAAGGCGGCCATGAACGAGGTCTACACTTGCTCACAAGGGAGCATGCCAACTCGAGACTAGACGATCGAGTGGCAGAAGATAGTGACCACGCCAGGCTTCGATTTGAGTTTTCCAAACCAACGATCCGAGTTCTTCTCGCGATCATGCGCATGACTGTGAATGGCACTCGACAACGAGTACGATTATGCCTCATTCCAGGCTATCCTGGATCGTGTAAACCTGGTCATCCAAACAGACGACAAGGCCGCTAACGAGAAGCAGTCACAACCGCACTATGTGGCACTGCAAGTTGCCTTTCCGATTTGAATGCGGATATAGAGCAAAGGCACGTCGGTCTCGGCGTACCTTTGGGTAACATACTCGCGGTCAATCTTCGCAAGATAGGAGCGGAGATCGACAACGGAGCTGGTATTGTAGTGTGCAAATAGGAGCATAGATTTGCCATCAAGGCGTTGCAATGCGGCCTTGGCAAGGTTCCAGTTGAGGGTAGAGGCATCCAAGCGAAGTCCTCTCTCGTGAGCGGGTCAAGCTCCTTAAGTCTTGACCACGCCGTCGAGTCCGAGCTGATCGGATCACTTGCCGACGGTGTACAGGCTGAGCATACGCTATCTAAATGCACGTGGCTAGGCTGGTCTAATGGTGGTACCAGTTGGGCGGCATAATCCTCGTACGTAGCAAGAGAATCGGTGATTAACGCATGCTCCCCGGTAGTGATATCGGTTGCTAGCAAGGCAACCGGTTCGGGCGGAGTGAGAAGAGGCGTCGCCCCTCTCCTTGCGTAACTCAGTTTCCCGAGTTAGCTGGACGGGGTACGCGTGCCTTGCCCTTGTCCGGGCATTGTGCGATAGTGTGGGTAACACTATTGCACCATAGGTAATATCTGTACCGTTGACGTAAGTCAGATACCTCCTTGGTTGTGTTGTATGCCGTCCATGGTTGCTGCCCAGTTTTCGTCGCTGTCGTCGCTTGTGTCGCCGGTTTTTTCGAACTCTCTTGCGACGCTTCGGGAGCGCTGCGACAGTTCCTCCATCACTGGAGGATGTTGCTGCAGCGTGGAGATCGACTGTTTCATCATAAATCACGACATTGTTATGTGCGATCATTGATAGCCTTGCTTGCGGAGCATCTCGCAATTTCATGAGCCAAGCCTTTATGGCCCGTGCAGGCCTTGGCCCGCGCGTTCGAAGGAAGACGCAACCTACGCAAGTTACACTCGCGGACGACCGCACGCAAAAGTCAATTGACCGATGCATCGACGGCGTCCCGGTACACTTTGCACCACTTGTGTGCGAGCCGGTGTCTTTTGACATCCTCGACACCAAGTTCGACATGATACTAGGCATGTCTTGCTTGCGTAGTGCCGATCATCCGGTGAACATTCATGACCGGACCATTCACATCCGTGATCGGAACGGAGTGTTAGTCCCATGTACGGTCGTGACCCCTCACACTTCGATTGCTTGTCACGTGGTTTCCGTTGCGAAAATTCGCGACATCATAGCTAGGAATGACGTCGAGGAGATGGGCCTTGTATTCTTGCATGCTCTCCCCTCGCCGGACAGACCAGCCGCATCACAGCCGGACCCACGCATTTCTCACCTCTTGGACGAGTATGGAGACGTCTTCGAGGCTCCCACCGGAACGGTTCTGAATCGGCCCATACGTCCCGGGATCACTTTCGAGACTGGCGCCGTCCCTCCCCGTGGATGCATTTACCGCATGAGTGAAGAGGAACTCGAGGTGCTTCTCGCACAACTTGACCACCTCCTTGACAAGGGCTGGATTCGCCCTAGTTGTTCGCCTTACGGTGCCCCTGTTCTCTTCRTCTGGAAGAACAACAAAGATCTACRGTTATGCATCGATTATAGGAAACTTAACRCACAAACCGTAAAGAACGCCGGCCCTCTCCCTCGAATCGATGATCTCCTTGAACCCTTAGGCGGCGCGACGTACTTCTCGAAGTTGGACTTGAAGTCGGGTTACTACCAGATTGAAATCCAGCCTCAAGATCGGTATAAAACCGCYTTCAAGAGGCGGTACGGGCACTTTGAGTGGGTTGTCATGCCATTTGGCCTCACCAATGCCCCCGCGACTTTCCAAGCAGGTATGACGACTGAGTTTCGCGACTTGCTCCATCGCAGCGTCCTCATCTACCTCGATGACATCTTGGTTTATAATAGGATCTTAGACGAGCACATCATACACCTTCGCGCTGTTTTGGAGCGTTTGCGACTGGCCAAGTACAAAGTGAATCTCGACAAGTGCGAGTTCGCCAAGCAGGAGCTTGAGTACTTGGGTCACTATGTCACGCCGAAAGGCATTCGTCCCTTAGTGGACAAGATCCAAGCCATCGTGGATTGGTCGGAACCCCATTGCAC